TTCAGTGATTAATTATCTTTATTATTAAGTAGTGTAACCCCTACATATGCTTGTTGGTAAGAGATTGTAAGCAAACATGAAGCATGAATTTAAATAAAGATAATTACACAAAATGCTGTTTTCAGGTTCCTCCAAATTATTTTTGCAAAGATATAAAAAGGACATTTATGTAACGTGCTCATTTTGTCAAGTGGCTTCAGAAGATTTGTGTCATTTATTTTGGTCTCGTCCTCATTCTTGTTCTTTTTGGAAGGATATTTGTGCTTTTATTTCCCAGTGTATTGTTTTATCCTTTTATATGAAAATGTTTGGCTTTATATCTAAACCCTCTACCAAAATAAATCAGTTATATCATTAATTTGATAATTTTCTAATTTTAAACCAAAAGTGAAATCAAACATTACATTACTCCCATAGTGTAAAAAATAAAGCAATGATTTCTGTCTGTTCATGCACTGTCTATATTTACCTGTCCGTAAATAAAGTTTAAATAATCTCAAATATGAGAGAGATGTTCTTCTTTTCTCTGTTTTATATCATATTAAACAGAATATCTTTGGGTTTTTGACTGACAGAACAAGACATTTAAAGACCTTTTTCACTATTATCTGACATTTTATAGACCAACTAATAATAATGATAATGAAAATAATCATTAGTTGCAGCCCGAGAACAGTATCACAGAGAGTGGCCTTCGTTCTGTTCAAACTATCTATAGTACGGCACATAAGCTACACTCTGGCTGCATTTCTGTTGACGTATCCATCAGCAAGTTTATTATCTCTGAGGCTCTGGCAGGCACCAAGTCTCTGACTCTATTAACCATGAGCTAATGAGGCTAGCATTGGCCAATTAGCTCCAGCAGCATTAGCAGGCTATTATACTCCCATCTGATCCTCACTCATAAAACACAGCAAATTATAGCCGGGATCCTCCTCCACATATCATGTTGGCCGTGTTTCTAACTTGGGTTATTTAATTAGTTCATGTTTGCACTCAGCACCAGCACGACTCGAAGGAGCACTGACGCCGCGCACAGGTGCAAAGGATTATGGTCGGTAGAGACTGGAAACGCTTAATTACTATTATTAGAGACGGAACATTTAGGAAATATGTCTGACATTAATTGAGAAAAATGACAAAAAGAAATGGAACAGATGTCTCTGAGCTTGGACAGCTTTACCGAACTACGACGTATTTTACATTACACAGCATTTAAATAAAGCCTTTAAACAACAAGTCGACTGACAGCAGGGGATCTGCTGTACTGCCAGAGAAATAATCTGACATCGTTTTATATGGGTTAATGATCTATCGGCAGTCGGCCACCGTCCCAATTGATGTTGGCTAATTTATAGGGTTGAGTGAGTCCACCACTATCTGAATCCGTTCAACCAACTAGATAATCTGTATTCGTATCCCTAGTTAGAATAGGCGGGGCTTAAACCAGACTTGGGTGGTGCTTAAATCTAAATTGGGCAAGGTTAACCCAGAAGTTAAGAAGCCTGAAATTGATATGGGTTGATCAGAAATTGTTATATTTATTGCTGATTAGAAAACTATTTACAGAATTGAGATTACGGAGTATTTACACATTTTACTCGTTTTAAAAAGCCTCAGAGATTATATTTTTATACAATTATTTGTCTGTATTTGTCTGTTTATTTTTTTACTATATAAACTATATAATCATCAAGAAAAATACCATTTCATTTAGTGTTTTCACATAATTGGACAAAATGCTGAGATACTGCGTACACAAAATACACAAACTGTTATGATGGCCGAAGTTTCTTTAGAAAGCCTGATAACTGTGATGTGGTTGATAAACAAGGTGAAACAGAGGGTCTCGTGTGGTGGAGGATGAAGAACAAGCAAGAAATACTGATAACGTTTATCAGCTAATGTTACAGAGGAAGCAAGAAGCAGCAAGGAGGTCAAAATCATTCATCTGCTTAGTGTGGCGTTGACAAGAAAAGTGTCCACGTGGTCGCTGTTTCTCATCCTATTTTCTCTCCATGCCCTTATAAATGCATCAT